TTTCCTAGTTTACTTGTAAGATTCAAGGAGGGGCTGCAGCTTGCGCCTCTCCCTGGGATGTTGTATGAACTCACTCTAAATCTGCTTCTGAATTAATAAATTTATTATCATTCATAAAGAAAAACAAATACTGCGAATAGCCTTCCATGGAGTTGCCAGTGTTGCCTGTCGAGATACACCAACATCCCACCCATTTTCTGCACGACCATGAATGCTTCCTATCACCTCATGCCACAATCTTTCTCTTTCCAAAGGCCATCTCTACAGCCATTTCCCCAAAAGAGCTTGGTTCTTTTGAACTAGATTCCCCAATCCCAAACCCCCCTATTATTCGCTCCTACAAACCACCTCTCACTTAACTAGGTGACCTTTCCTACTTTCCCCTGGTTCCCACAGGAAATCTCTCATAAGCTTCTCTAGCTTTTTAGCTTCCCTAGAAGGAATCCTAAAAACAATCAGGAAGTAGGTTAGCTAGCGTGGCTCTGATCAAAGTGATTCGCCCCCCCCCACCAAAAACTACTCTCTCTAGGATTTGCCCCTAAAGGGAGCCCCAAGTAGGTCAAAGGCCAAGTAGAAATGGAACACTCAAGACACTCTACGATAACCTCCAACTCTCTTAATTCCAAATTGACCCATGCTACTTAACTCTTATCAAGATTAACTTTTAAATTGGATACCCTTTTGAAATTTGTTACCAACATCTTCAAATTTCTCACCTTCTCAAAATCCCCCCCCCCTTCACAAAAAATTAGTATATCATTTGCAAATTGAAGGTGTGTAACTGGGATTTCCTCTCTACCTACTCGCCACCCTCTTACTACACCCTCCCTGTCAGCCTTTGATATCAGCTTGCTCAACACATCAACTATTAAAGTAAACAAGAATGGTAAGAGAGGGTCTCCTTGCTTAAAACCCCTATAGGCTGGAAAGAAATCCTTCACTATTCCATTAATCAAGATAGAGTAGTGACAGGAACTAATGCACCCAAAAATCCAATTACACCACCTTTCTCCAAAGCCACAACTTCTCAAAACATGAAGTAGGAGTTGCCAATCCACCAAATCATATGCCTTTTCATGATCCAACTTGCAAACGAAACCTCTTCTTTTTGATCTTCTCATCTCCTCCACATGATCGTTGGCAAAATCTGATCAATGATTTGTGTCCCTTGTACAAAGGCCCCTTGGGCTTGGCTAATTTGAGAGGGAAGGACTTCTTTAAGTCTCAATGACAAGACCTTGGCTAGAATTTTGTAAATACTGGTCACCAAACTAATCGGCCTAAAATCTTTAGGGTGAGCCGCATCAGCCTTTTTAGGAATTAAGGCCAAGAAAGTGGCATCGACTCCTGGGCTCACTATGTGTGTATCTGTGAATTCCTGAAACACCTCAACTAAGTCATCATTCAGCACCTCCCAACAACCTTGGTAAAACGCCATTGTAAAACCATCAGGGCCTAGAGCCTTAGATCTATCCATTAAAAACACTGCCTTCCTTATCTCTTCTTCCTCAAACCTTCTTTCCAACCAGCTTGTTTTTCCCTCACCCAACCTTAGCCAATCTAACCCTTCCAGAGGTAATCTCTCATTTAAAGGTCTTCTATAAATGGATTTAAAGTGATTCCAATTTGATCACATAATTTTTCCTTCATCTTCCGTTTGCCAAATCATGAAAGAATTGGGCATTCCCATCGCCTTCCTTAATCCACTTATGCCTTGATTTCTGCCTCCAACAGATCTCCTCTCTAAGTAATACATCTTCCAAATCCTTTTTAGTTTCCTTCTCAGCTCTCTATCCTGTTCATTCATGGTCCTTTGAGATTCCTTCTTGTCTAGCTCCTCAATCCGAGTAACTAGAGTCAGCTTTTGCTTCTCAGCCCTACCAAAGTGATCCCTATTCCATCCCTTCAATTTTAATATCTCAGTCTTTGCAACTTCTTGTGGAACTTACCCCCTTCCATTTTACTCCCCTAATTTCTTCACTCCACCACTCTTTCCTTTTAACCCCAAAATCTGGATGTGTCAACCACATGTTTTCAAACCTAAATGGTCTAGGTCCACTAATAAAGGTTTCCACACCTAATTTGATGGGGCAATGATCGGAAGTGACCTTGGGCAGAGCTCTAGAGACTAAGGGCTCGTTTGGCAAGTCTTTTTGAGAAGATCTTTTTGTAGCTCTGACAGTCAAAAGACGCATTGAGCTTTTGACATAAGATATGGGCAGCCTGAAAACCGTTTGTCAGACGTGCGTCTTTCCGTGTGTTGTTTCAGGTCTTTCTTCGCGAGATTAAAATGCGAAAGATGCGAGAAGCTTCATTTGGAGCTTCCCAAAATCAGCCCAAAATGGGCTTCTCGCATCTTTTCGGCGTCCTGTCTTTTGGCAGCTAGATCTTTCGCGTGCCAAATGGAAATAGACCGATTTTCGGTCTTCCCGGCTTGTAAACAGCCAAAAGACCGCGTGAAATTTCGGTTAATTTATTTCTCTAACCTCTATTTATTAATGAATTATTTTGGGTGTATTTCACCACATAAATGTTTGGATAGGCAGGAATACTCTATTTGAGAATCAAGCATAAAGATATCCTTATGGTGGTATTCCCATGGTAAAATGCTACATTACTTGATCTTAAAAGAAAATATGCTGCTATAAACAAATGTTCTCTTAGATACTATGTTCCCATTCCTAATGTCACTGCATCCACCTTTCTTTTTTGACTCAAACAGGTTGTGGCTCCACCTGTTTGGCAACGTACACTGTGCATATGATGTAGTTGTGTTTCTCTTTCCTATAATGAGATGGTGTTTCATAAGGTGCTATTACCTGCTGCTTCTGAACAAAACCATCAGTGCATATCTACAGGAAAGATTTATACTAGTAGCTGTATGTATTTTCCATGCAGGTGGCACATATTGTCATTTATATAAGCTATCTAGTTTGTGAACTGAAACTCAAAGATTTTATAGAACTCCAAGGATCATTTGGTAATGGCTCAATTGATTCCTTGGCTTGATTACTTGTTTTCTTTTTATATAATATGTCTACACCAATGTTTTAAAACGCGGAGGTGTGACGCGAGGCGTTCCACTACCCGGAGGCGTGAGGCGTAAGCCTCAAGTATGTATTTTTTTTATAGTTATAGTGGGTATTAATAAAAAATAGATATTTTAAACATAAAAACATATATAACACTAAATTGACTTAATTTCTATAAGACTATAAGCATTCAGTTTCTACAATTTACAAGCAAAATCAATAAATCATTTATCAAATTCAAAAGAAGCAAAATCAATAAAAGGCTGAACTGATGAAGCTACAGCCAGCAGTTGGGTCTTGGGCCTCTTGGCCTATTCGGTCCATTAAATGTGTTAAAAAAAAGAAAAAATAGAAAGAACATAATCAACAGATTACATAACTACTAAAATCATGCAGCTTTGTTAAACAGATTGCATAATCAACAGAATACATAATTTATTCATGTAGCTTTGTTCAAGAAGGCTGAAACAAAACTACTAAAATCAAGAAAAAAAAGAAACACCAGAATACAGAAATGAAGAACATAACTACTAAGTACTAAGTTACTAACCGTTGAAGCTTATTTCCAAAAAAAAAAAAAAAAACAGAACCGTTGCAGCTTTGTCACGTTCACAGCCACCCAGGTTGGTCGGTTACTTGGTTGGCCCAGCAGCAACTTCTCTTCAATAGTTCGATTGCAATTGAAAATAGAATAAAAAAAATATGATCACATCTGAGAAATTTCAGGTTGCTCGAAGAAGAATAAAGAAGAAGAAGTTGCAGGTTGCTCGAAGTTGAAAGGAAAAGAAAAAAAAAAACATACCAGACCAGATTTCTTGAAGTTGAAGTTGCAGGTTGAACGTTCGAACAGAGTAGAGCTTCTTCGCAGTTCGCACTTAGCAAGAGGTTTCGCAGTTCAGACTTCACAATTCTTTCGAGCCCTAAAGTTTGGGTTTGAAAGAGGGATATTTCTCCCTCTTTTAGACTTAAAAAAATAGTTGTATACAATGGGGGCCATGATATAATCGTGGCCCCACCAATTAGAACATAAAAAAATTAAAACAAATGATTTGTTAAATGTTTAAATATATCACACATGGGAGGCGTAAGCCTCTTTCCAAAGGCGTGCCAGAAGCGTATGCCTCTACCCACGCCTCTATACCTGAGGCGTACGCCTCAATGGTCTGGGCGCTTCTGTCATGCACCTCCAGGCGTTTTGGGAACCTCCAGGCGTACGCCTCCCACGCCTTTTAAAACACTGGTCTATACCATTCTTCCTTCATTCTTTTGAATGTTTCGGTGGATCCTAGGATCCATATTGGAAAGCAAGAGTAAGAATTGAGATTTGATCGATTGATTACAATCAATACAAATCAATTGGATGACAACTTCAGGCTGATTATATGATTTTGACAATCACATATAGTATAATCCATGGTTCAAAGTATTGATACATTCGATAGCATGAAGACGTGTATTGGGTGTTTCAGGTGAATAAAAAACTACCTTTTTTTTATTATTTTTTTACTTTCATATTTTTATCAGTGACAATATCGACATGTTTGAACATTTAAAAACATTAATTTTAGGAAATGGTTTAAGGCGTATCAGCAGCTCATCGATACAATACGATATGTCCAATATGGGGCGTATCATATTGAAATTTTGAACCTTGATACATTCTATTGAAAATTTTAAGAGAATTTTGACAGGGTAGTAATGATGATTTGCTGACCTGTTCTTTAGGCTAGGGAGCTTTTCCACTGACAATTACATTTTCCCCTTTTGATTGGTAGAAGTTTTATGCTTTTGATTGGTAGAAGTTTTATCTGCACCTGCTACACATGGTCGGGAAGGCAGCAATGCCAATTGATGTTATTAATGTGTCTAACTAATAAAAATAATGTTCTTCCAAAAAAAAAAAATCAAAATATATGTTACTGGTCTGTCTAATTTATTTTCATGAATAAAATGTAATTAATTAGTTTGTATATCTCTGACTCTTAATATTGCTTAAGAAAAAATATGCACTCAAGAGCATTCTGTTTATTATATATATGACTGAGTTGTCCTTAGGCAGTTAGGAAAATGTTTGGATATTATTGAGACTCAAATAATCCAGGATGTGATAACATTATCATACTTATGTCCTTAATAGTTGTGGCATGTTTTTTCCCCGTTAAGTTAGACCCTTCCAATCCTCGTGGGATAGGTTGTATGCTATGATGGACTGAATCTTTTCCCATTGAGTAAGAATGCTGTGGCATGAATATTATCTTTCTGCTACTCTGACTCTAAATGAGATGATTTGTCAGGCGGAGCTTAATAAGGTGGTTCCTGAAAATGGTTCAGCTGAAGGTGGTGTTCAAAGTGAAGGAAAGAAGTCTAATGAGAAAGGGAATATTGATAGCAAGAAGCATCATTCACTTCTGTTACAGGTTACAAAACTTTTGAGCCTAAGTTTCCTGCTTAAGAAATTCTTTTAGTTTTATTTCTTTTTTTTTTCTGAGAAAAAGGGTTTTAGTTTTCATAGATTATTAGGTGAGCAGGAATTATCAAAAAAAAAAAAAAAATTAGGTGAGCAGGATAATAGTGGAATTGCAATTTTAAAAACTGTATTTTAAATGCATGGTGCTCCATCTGAGAAGGCAGGATTTTTTAGTTTCTTGAATATAAAGTTTGTCTTTGCTTGAATTTCCTGCAGCTACTTGCAGCCCAGGCCGGATGCAAGACAGATGAAATATGTGATTTTGAGCTACAGTTGTGTGATACTCAACCAAGTACTGTAGCTGGTGCGACAAAAGAATTTATTTTCTCAGGAAGGCTTGATAATCTTTGCATGTCATTTTGCTCTTTGAAGGTCAGTATTTTGCATCATTACATTCATAATCCATTCACAGAAAATGGTGAAAAAACTTAGCTGCTTAGGTATTTTCTTATAGTTAATTAGTCATGTAAGCATCTTTTTCAGATACTCTTTTTTGATAGATAAAATATCATATTTCCATTAAAGCAGAAAGAAATTACATAATCAGTCCCTTGGGAAGGTGCGAGATGCCGCCTCTCCAAACATGAAGCACATAAAATCTTAAAACACAGAATCTAAAGCAAAATGTACATGTGTACTAATACAAAATTACAGCTCAGCCCAAAATAGTGTTTCCCGAGTTGTGCCCTATTTTGCTGAGCTATCAGCAAAGGCATTAGCTGAATTTGTTGGTGTGTACAATCAACCATGTCTATTGGTGCTCTCTTGTGCTATGACTATGAGCTTATATGAATTTGTTAGGGAGTACAACATTTTACTGATGAACTTAATCATTGTGTCCAATGGAATTTCTTTCTGCTGCCTAGCAATAACAGTGGTATGATGCTGATGTTGATGATACGATTGGTAGGCCTGTAATCGGAGCGAATTTGAATCAAATCACGTCGTATTTATAAAACTGATTATTCGAATTCAATTCGATATTCAATGGATGTTGAAAATTTAAAATTGAATTCGAATTCGACTAGATAATTAAATATTTGATTAATTTGAATTCGATGGATTACATCCTAATTCTTGAAATCCAAGAATGAGCCCTCTTGTTCCCTTTGAATGAATTATGGAGAAAGTCTTTGCTTATTTTCTTTGAATGAACAAAGGGTATACACTGTTTCTGTAAATGAAGAAGACAGACGAACAACAAGGGGGAAAATAGAAAAGAAAAACAAAAACCTAATAAAATCTGGAACAAACAATGAAGAAGATGGACGAAGAACAAGGATAAAGCAAGAGAGAGAGGGAGGGAGGGGGAGAAAGAGGAGAAGAGGGAGAGACTGCATCATTTTTTTCCGTTTACCGTAAAACAAATGGATGATAGCTGCAACTGTGCTATTCATTTACTGTGAAACTCTTTTTTGCTTCATTGATACATGATCTTTGCTTTCAAATGCGCTATTCATTGTTTTATATTTGAAATCTCTTCCATGAAAATCAGCAAAACCAGACACTGAGGAGGAGGTCGATGCAGGCGAAGAAAAAAAAAAGAGAGAGAGATACATGGGAGGGAAATGGGGGAGATGAGATGGAGCAGGTTGAAGTAATTAATGCACTTTTATCACCTGTCAACTAATGAAACTAAGTCTGAACCGAGTGGTCTTATCATGGCAGAAGCAATTACTTCTCTTTTTGTTTATTCATATTAAAATAAGATTATATAATAATATATAATATAAAAAGTTAAAGACACTTGACCTAGGTTTTAACATTTAAGACATGTATCTTTCTTTTATAAAAGGAATGTTAGAACACATATATACTATATTATATTATTATAATATCGAATTCGAATTCGGATTTTTGAATACCGTTGACACCCCTAATGATTGGACACCTTGAAACCAAAGGGTTTAGCCATACTGACACTTGGAAACTGTGCTTATACTTGGCAAATGGCATAGGAATCTCAATTATGCTCCAAACTGATGTCAGCAGAAAACTTAGGCACTACTAGTAACCACAATATCTTGAGAGAGGAGACATCTAATAAGGAAGGCTCAGAAGCTTGATTTTCGTTATTTTTACAATATTTTGAAATTATTCATATAACTAAAATATTATTTATTGTCATATCAATAAAAAAAACTATTATTTATTGTCATGTCCCTATGCCATGATATTTGGAGGTCATGGTTTTGAAAACCAAACTGGACTGGATGGTTGGACTGTTTTGGACCCAGGAATCAGTCATGGTTCAGGGTTGGGTTTTGGTCCCAAGAACCATTCAACTGGTCTGGTTTTCAAAACCATGTTGGAGATTAATGCGTTGGATACTTGTAGAAGCCTGAATGCTCAGCATGATGGTGATGATTTGACCATTTTGGACAGCATCTTGTATTTTCATCTTAGGTACATGCCAGTCACTTCTGGAATAGCAAATTTATTTCAGGTTTTCTGAATGGACAATGTCAGAAACCTTGTATCAGTTTCAGAAAATTATATCCTTTGAAAATGGAAATATGATCTTTACTCATGGAAACCTTGGATCATAACAAACTAAAAAAGTGGTCAAAACTATAATCAAGTACGGATTTTTCCCATTTTCTTTGAATGCCACGATGTTTATTTCAAGTTTTACCATGTATTTCACACTACTCCTGGTCCTGGGTTATGGGGTTTGATCCAAAATTAGTTATCAGCAAGGAAAAAGAATGTTTTTGACACTAGACAACAATTAAATTTATATTTGTAGTTGTTGAACACACATCTAAATCATGCCATGCCACGTCTTCCTTGCTCAATTTGACAATGCCTTATGTTTCTGTCGAGGAACTGTTCAACCTAAAAGCTTAAGCTGTTAGGTGAGGTCCCTGAATAGGTTTTTATTCTCTTAACACATTCCCTCACACAAAAGTCTATTGGGCTTAAAGTGTGGACAAGCACAGGCCCACCCATGTCAATGACCCATTCAACCTAAAAGCTAATGCTGTTAGATGAGGTCTAGGTTTTTATTCTCTAACAGTTTCAGAGGAACTAAGAAATACCAAAATTTTGTGTCATATTCACATTGGGTCATGTACTCTTCACTACAATCCTTTGAGTTGTTAGTCTACGAGGAAAATATCTGTTTCAAATTGTTTGTCTACAAGGAATATGTGACTACTTTGTTTGTCTATCTTCCATCATAGAAAGTTATTCTGATTTATTAGCTTATGGATTTAATTCTAGGCTTTGATTGATGCCACATCCTCCGAATGTAGTCTTGAGGATGAAACCGGTGTAAGAATGGTAGCATTGTTTGATCATGAGGAGGTTGGATCAAACTCTGCACAAGGAGCTGGTTCACCTGTGATGTTAGATGCTCTTTCACGAATCACAAATTCCTTCAGCTCATCAAATTCTAAGGTAGAACAGTTTCTTTATGATTTCCATATTTTAGGCTTGAAATATAGGTTTGCTGCTATGGTTATTTTCTTTCTGCTGCAAATTATTTTTTTTTCAGTAAGTAGGGCAGTCCTAAATATGTAGTTTGCCTTTTTCAAATATCTAGTGCTCTTCATTTATCAAAAAAAATATGGTACTCTTTTTTAGCAAATTAACAAATTCTGGAATCTGGATTATGCTCTAAAGTAGATATACTAGTATCATTGTTTACCATTTACACACATGCACACACACGCACACACACACTAAGGGCATGTCTAAAGTACATAACTTGAGAACTTATCTAAGAATTTAGCATCACTTTTTTTTTACCTGAATCAGTTCATTAGTAAAGCAAAAGACTGTTCACTGGATGATTAGTATTGTAAATACCGATCTTGCTATTTAGTGGTCTTAACTGTGAGCTTAGTTTCAAGTCATTCATTTTCTATGTGACCTATTATTTTTCTTCCCACTTTTTTATGTTCGAAGTCCAGATTTGTTTGGTAGATTAGATAATGTTGAGGGTGTCCTCTCTACTAGGATATGCATACTTGTCTGGGATCCAATACCTGATCCCTTGTATTTGATCTGGTGGCTGTAGCCTTTTCATTTATTATAGTTTCTTTGGTAGTCAATATAGGTGTCACCTTGGACGAACTAGAGGAGGAATGAATTAGAGCAAACTGCAAATTATATAAGCCCACTTCCAAGGGTAAGTTGCATTTGAAAGATCAGAATTGCAGACCTCAAATTGGGAGTCTTTTTTTTTTTTTAATTTTTTAAGAGGAAAGCAAGGAAATTTTGTTAGATATCAAAAAGCAAAAAGGAAAAGAGTTTACAAATGCAGGTGTCCAAATCCCACACATTCAGGCTCTCAAAGGCTTCATATACAAAATCAAAAGGCTTAGATAGATAGTTAGCAACCATGTTAGTCTTGCAAAGGGTATAGACAAAAGAAAGTTTTAGCTTCCGTTTGGGAGTGCTTATTTTCAAGCACTTATTTTAGGCTTGGGATCACACCAATAAGCACTTATGTGCATTTGGAAAATAAACTCCAATAAGTGCTTATTCATGGAAATAAGCCCATTTTGAATAAGAACCCAAGAAGGTACTTGTTTTTAAGCACTTATTGTTTTCTGGCCTGTCTTGGCCCACCACGTAATTCTTAAAATACCTATACTACCCCCATTTGAAGAAGCACTTTTTCACCAAACATTGGTAAGTGCTTATTTGAATAAGCACTTCCAAAGAAGGCAGATAAGCAAAATCATTTCTTCTTTCTCTTTTCTGATTTGGGTTTGTTAACTGTTCTGTTTCTCATAATTGGTTATTTTCTTTGCACTTGCTATTTCTCAGCTGCTTGAGAAAGCAATACAACGGAGCTTTCTTGTATCTGCAGACATGGCACATGCTTTGCACCCTAATTATATGGTATGTAAAATGCTCTTTCCCCATTTTGCAAATGCCTGTAATGGGCTATCTTAACAATTCAGCAACATGACCTTTCTCAGGACAAGCATGAAGAAAATCATCAGCCAAAGCTGCATGGCGGACTTGTCATTAAGCATAATGCCAATCAGCGCTATGCAACCAATGCCGTCACATCTTTCATTTTTCGAGAGATTGCAGAGAAACATGGCCTTCCTATTCAGGTCAGTTCTGTCCCTTGGAGATATATGACCACGTATATTTTAGTTGGCATTTTATGAAGTGAAAAGTTTTTCTTACAAAGAAAGAAAAAAGAAACTAGGATCCTTTTTGTTCATGGAATGGAATGAATTAAGGATTGCGCACAAATGATAGATGTGCCTTACATGTTAATTTACCTAACATGTGAATTGCTCATTGAGTGGGGGATCTGTCAATTGGAATTGGCTACTACTACCTTTTTTATGTCTTGTAAGAAGGTGGCCGGTTTTTGTATTTGCAGAAATGCACTTGTTGCAGATATAATGACACTGTAGTTCAGAACATGGTTGGAAGCATTGATACGCTGAATATGCAAAGATTGCCTATCCCGAGTTTTCAACAATCGATACTCTTTCTTTTTTTTTTTCAGACTTGTAATTCACATTTGGATATATTAGGGTGGGTATTAATGTTTATATCTATCAGAAGGACCTAAATTTCAGCATTTAGCATTTCGGTGACCCATGATACTTTAAAGTTTAAACCATGGTTTAGAAATCATCACTTGATACAAATTTCCTCTTTGAAACCAGAGTTGTAAATGGCCGACTTGCTCGAAGAATAAGAAGCTTCTATTTTGGCTTTTGCAGGATTTTGTGGTCCGTAATGACATGCCTTGTGGGTCGACCATTGGTCCCATATTGGCAAGCGGAGTGGGAATCCGCACGGTGGATGTTGGGGCACCACAATTATCAATGCATAGCATTAGAGAAATGTGTGCTGTTGATGATGTGAAGCACTCCTACGAGCATTTCAAATCATACTTCCGAGAGTTCACTCAGCTTGATGCCAAGATCAGTGTGGATGCTTGAACTTCCAAAACCATCTAGCTTTTGGGGCTTTGATCATCTTTTACTGTTTAAACAGTTATGCATTTGGATTTGTACTATAATCACTTATTTAATGATAATAAGATGGATGTCCTCATTGGTATAGGCACGGCAAATAAAGACGTTGATGCGGTTTCCTGAAGCTTATCGCTAAAGCTATGTTTGGTTTGGTAGAAAATGAGAGACAAATCGAAGGAAAAAAAATACGAGTTATATTTCACGGTCTAATGTCTATTCAAGGTGGAGGTGCACATTATTTTCCTTGGCAAATAGAGGCCTTGTTGTTCGCTTCCAAGTATTACAGGTTACGATATCGGATATTCTGGCATCTCTTGGAAACATGGTTGCCTTGTAATGCTTCAGACCAATTTTTTCTAACCGTTGTTGATCCGGGTGGTTAGATCGGTTTGGGAACCATCCAGGCAGCCAGTTTTATTTTATTCCAAATCTGGTTTTCGGCCAAAAATTGTTGAATTAGTCAATGATCCATTGATCTAAACGGTTGAATCAATTTAATTCGTTTAACGGTTTTGGTCATTTTTTATTTTTAAATTTTTTGTTAGAACGGATCATCTGTTCAAACTAGATGATTGAATTGTCAATTCAGAAACTGGTGACCAGAATGGTTTCGGTTTTGGGTCAGTTTTTAAAACTTTGCCTTGTTTAATTGCTATTATTTTTGGACCTTGTCGCTTTCATCCATAGTTCTTGTCGATGGATAATGTTATCTCCTTTCCAATTCTCATTCAATCCAGTTAGGTTGGATTGTGATAAGTATCGTTGTTACATGGTCAAATGAAGATATAGAGATGTTTAGGTGTGAGTATTGTTTGGTTAAAATCGAAAAACCGAACCAAAATTTTTGGTTTTGGATTGTTTGGTTTGGTTTGGTTAATTTGGTTTTAAAAAATTTCAGTTTTGGTTTTTGTTTTTAGGATTAGAAATTCGGTTAACCAAAAAATCAAATTAATTGAAATTTATTATATACATAATATAATATATATTATTAATATATAAAACATAATATATTATAATATGTATATAATATATTATATAATATTAATATATAACATACATTAACATATACATATATTATAATATACATAAATATATATATATATATATATATATAATATAATATGTATTAGAATAATATTAATAAAGTTTGGTTTTAACCAAAATAACGAAAAACCGAACCGAAAAATTTAGTTTTGGTTTTTTTTTTTTAATAATTCGGATTTGGTTTGGTTTTATATTTTATAAATTTGGTTTATTTGATTTGGTTTTTAGCCGAATAAACCGAATGTTCACCCCTAGAGATGTTAGAATAGATGGGATTGGATGACACTGGACATCCAAAATTTCTAACGAATGGATTGGATTACACTTTACTAGACTGGAAACATCTTGTCCATTTACAGCTTCGAGAGAAGAATGGAATCAACATAATCACTTCGTATATATTAAAATACTAAACACTAATCAAGCAAATGGTGCAAATAGATTGGGGCACATTAGAGAATAATCTTTAAAACATACTTGCTTTAGTTTAGAGTAGGTTATAAATCAAATATCACATTTAGGTTTTATCATTATTTAATTAAACATATCACATTCGCTTAAGAAAATATATATATATATATATATAAGGAAGGTCTTCAGGCAACAATACCCACCCTATAGACACGTGGCCATCCCAATGCTACTTATGGTTTGGACTTTGGAGTCCTACATCATGCATATTTGGCCTGATTATATTATCAGTTGATTATAACCATATATGATGATGATTTGATTGCAGTCATATATTTTTCATCTTTTACTTCAGAGGATGGATTTGGCATGGATTGTTTTTCTTAGCAGTTCTTTGAATAACTTTTCTTCATTCTTTGCCTTTTTGAATATATATCATTTAAATGCTTTTTATCCATTCATATGTCCCTAAATATTAAGCAATATTGGTGATATTGTTGTAAACATCCATCTAATTTTACTATTTTAGAAATAGATTAGTGATTTCAAAGTTATTGATACTTTTTTGGGGGTGGGTTGCTCAATAGGATATTGATTTTTTATTGTTAAATAGTAAATTTCAAATTAAATGATACTGTAGTTGCCCCTTACTTAGTATGTGGTCATTCTCTAAATAAAATATGGTAAGTCTCTTAAATCAAATAAAGAGCCTACCCTAAATGTCTATTATAAATAATTAAAAATTTGAAATAATTCAGATTAAATCAAATAATTACTTGCTAAAAAATACTGAATTAAGTAAATAATAATAACAATCAGTTATTTATAGAAATAATTAATAATAATGACAATCATCAAGTACTTAATTAAGTAAATGATGAAAAAATAAATAGTGATCGTCATTATTTATTTTGCAAACAAGCAATTGGGTAAGGTTATTATATTTTGTTTTATCTACCTGTTTTAATGCGCTTCCATACTACTAAAGTAGAACAATAATATTGTCCGATAGCCAAGAAATTGTTTATAGGTATTTAGCTCCCTTAATTTAATTTAGTGAACTAGGAATGATCCCTACTAAGTATGGGGCCACTATTTTGAATTATTTAAAATTTTTAAATCATTTATATTACACATTTAGGTTAGATTTGTTTTTTCATTTTAATAGATATTTCTTTAATTTAAGAGATTATCATATTTTATCTACAAGATTTGGTTCACACTATTTATCATTTCCTTTGATATTCACAACTATTGAATCATTTTTTGAATTAATCATATTTTATTATTTACCAAAAGGTGGACGAATTCTGTATAGCCTCTGCCGTCTACAACCTTCAATTTCATTATACCTTCTGATGAATGATGATTTGGCCCGACCTATAAAACGGCGACATGTGGACGTTGATTCAGCGTAAGCGACAGCTCAGCATTGTGGTCCAGTACGGCTAAGTGATAGGCCCATAAAGCAGCTCGCTACATGGTAGCGGGGGAAAGGAGGGGCTCGCCACAATGCGAGCTCCGGGTCCCCCGAGCTACCTCAAGGGATATTCCGAGGCAAAATTTAACTTGCGAGCTAAGAAAGCCAGCTCGCTCGAGCTCCCGAACAAGGCAAGTCATCCAAGGACTAATTCTATTAAGGGTACTTTTGAAGTATTCGAAGCTCGTTGCAAAGTATCTTGCGAATGGGCCGCACGAGCATTCCTCAGGAAGCTTCTATTTAATAGGCCGTACCAGTCAGACTGGGCCACGTCCCTAACTGACAGCGCAGTCCCTGTCCTTTCAACAGTCTGCGCCCACGTCTCTCAGTAGGCGGAGGCGTGCCTATCACTTTGGGGACGTGTCACTCACCCGGGTAAGGAGTACGTCCCAACGGCCACCTGCGCAGCCCTGGCATGTAACGGTTGTGGCAGGGACCCAGTGGCGGTTATGCCCGATCTCGCAAGAGCACTCTTATAAAAGCCCTCGGGGTAGAGGAGAAATTTCTTCTTGAGACCTCCAACCTCTCGAATATAGTGATAAAGCGCGACCTCCACTCTCAGCTTTCATTTCTCTCTTTACCCCCCATACACAGTACTAACTTAAACATCGGAGTATTCCCACTGGGCAAACCCCCAGGAATCCTTCCTTTCATCTTCTCAGGTGCTGCTCGTTGCCAACTAGGAGCCAGTCAGCCGCCAGCTAGGAGTGCCCGGATTGCGCCACATCATTTGGCGCCGTCTGTGGGAAACGCTTCAAAAGGCCTTCCCCTTTAAATTTTTTCAGTTACTTCTTCTTCCTTGAAACAACCCAACGCTCATGGCTTCCTCTAGCAACGTCGGACGAAGCACGGAAATGGGTAACTCCAGGGAGCAACCCCAGTCTCCTACTGTCTGTATCGGACAGTTCACCGTCCCCCTCTCAGCGGACGGAATCCCCAGCTTGAACGTGCCTCTCACAATGGCACCTGTCATCGCCCCACTCCCCGCTATAATCGGAACGATGTTCACCGAACCCTCGGTCGTGCCCCCAGCGGCCAGCCCAAACCAGGTGGAGGATCTGATGCAGTGCATGAAGGCCATGCAGGCCCAAATGCAACAGTTCCAACAACTTCAGCTTTATCAACAGCACGTGCTGCACCAGGTCTCCCAGTACCAGTATCAACAGCAGTTCCCCCAAAATCTCCCAAAAAACCAGCCCCCCCCCCACGGCAGACGGGAGAGACCAGCTACCCCGATCTCGCCGTGGGTGGACAGGTCGGGAGGGCCCTGACTCGGCAGGTCAACGTCGCCTCAACAGTCGAAGTTCGGAACCCCGATCCTTGAAAACCGATTTGAGATCCTGGCAATAGACTCTAAGCAGGCCCCTTCTGTCCGCAGCCATCACCAGCGGACCGGGCTACTCCCAGCGCAAACCATTCTGGACAGCGCGGAGGTGAGCAGCACGAACGTCGAGCCCACCAAGAAGCAGAGACGCCGCCGCCGAGCTCACCGATCTGTCACCCGCGATTTGCTCGAGCTCATGGGCAAAGAAGAGGTAGGCTCGGCCGAAACCAAGGCTCCCCTCCTCTCGGTTCCGTCCCCCCTGTCCTCCGAACTCTTGGCAGTCCCGATGCCCAAGGATTTCAAGCTTCCCCCTCTTGACAAGTATGACGGGTCGTTCGACCCGAATGATCATGTAGACGCCTTTCAGTCACAGATGCACCTGGCGTGAGCCAGTGAGTCATGCATGTGCGTGGCCTTCTCCACTACTTTCAGGGGAGCAGC